TTGATGTAGCCGACGGTGGACGGCAGGGCATACAAGCCTGGCCCGGAGCCTGCGACCAAAGCCTGAGGATCACGGCCTGGGGCCATGCACCCTAAGAGATGGGAGGAGACAGGGGACCAGCCCCTGAGCCCCCACCTGGCCTCCCAGCCAGTCTCCACAGCAGGGGTGTGGGAGTAGCAGCTGCCGGGGTGGTGGGGGGAGTGGCAGGGGCTTTGTGAGTCACAGGGGTTACAGGAGGGAGGGGCTGCAGGGCTGGGGCACCCTGGGATGGCTGAGGCCCAGACACACAGGTACGCAGTCACAGGTGGGGAAACTGAGGCCCAGACGCAGAGATACACAATCACAGGTGGGGAAACTGACCCCTGGACACAGAGATACACTGTCACAGTTGCAACGTTTGGTGGCCTCTGCAAGAATGTCAGTGCTACATAGGCCACAGAATCTGAGTCCAGCGGCTTTGCTACAGATGGAGAAACTGTGGCAGGGCTGAGGCGGAACCGAGATCCCAGGGTCAGGGTCAGAGTTAGGGAGGCTCAGCTCCCCCACGGACCGCTGAACAGGCTCCCAGGTTCTGCTGCTCTCTCTGAGACAGTTATCACCAGTGAATACACTGCAAAGGCTTGTTGCTTGCTTTTCCTCGTGTCCGTCCCCCCACGGGACCTCTGCTGCTCTCTTGACCACTGTACCCGCAGCACCAGGAAAGATGCCTGGCCTTTAAGACACTCGACTCACGGGCCCACAGGAATGACACATTCACACCCATACTGCGGGAAGGAAAACTGAGGTTCGGGGAAGCGCAGGGGCCTAGAGACTGCCTCCTCCAGCCAGGCTCCCACACGTTCCAGACACCCCAGTGGGGCGGGGGCATTGGAGCAGGGAAGGGTCCCACCACCACGGCCCCCTGGCCCACCTACCGTTCTCCAAGGGGGCTACCCCGCAGGACCTCCTCAGACCAGTCTCCGGGATCTGGCACTCGGTGGCCCGCCGGCCCAGGGCCACCGGAGTCAGCCGTGGAGCAGGGTCACAGGGGAGGGTCCCCATGGTGGGCAGGGGCGGGTCCGGGGCTCCTGGTGTCAGCTCCTTGGCCACACAGCCCTGGGCTACAGGTGCCGACACCTTCCCGGATCCTGGCGGCTTCTGCGGGGTTCGCAGAGCCCCGGGCAACCACACCCTCCAGACGGCACAGACGGCCCCTTGTCTGTCGGCAGGGAGTCTGGGGCCCTGGCCCGAGCAGGCTGGCCAGCGGTCACTGGCCTGGAAGTGGGGCCAGGATCGAGTGTCGGCCAGGCAGCTGGATGGTCCAGGAAAGAATCCGGTGTCAGCAGAGCCAGTCCCCCGGGAGCCAGCTGAGCTGGGCAGCCCAGGCCAGAGCAGGCCCTGGGGAGCAGGAGCTGCAAACAGGACACCCACAGCCTGGTGGCAGGAGGGACAGGTGAGGTCATGGGCGGCCTGGCCCCATTTCTACAGCTAAGGAAACTGAGGCACGGTCCAAGGTCGCCACTCTGGGAGCTGCTTGCTCCCCTCCTTCCTTCATCCAGGAAGGACTTATTGGGCACCTACCGTGTACTAGTTTCTGTTTGGGTTGGTGGGACATGACGGAAACAAGCAGACGAGGAGTTGATGTTTTCGCGAGGGGAGAGAGGAAATAAGCGATAAATGTATACATGAGCACACCATACGTTAGAAGGTTAAATGTCCCGCAAACATACAGCAGGGCAGGGAGTCGGGGACAGCAGTGCAGGGGCAGGATGAGAGGTCACTGCGGTGAGAAGGTGAGGGAACATCGTTTCAGGATAGGGAAGGGCTGTGCCGCGGCCCCGGGCAGGAGCTAGGACGGCAAGGAGGCGGCAGTGGTCCTCCAGGACAGGCCCCTGCCTTCCAGAAGCCAACAGGAATTTACTCCATCCCAATGCAGTTTATTTCCTTAACTGCACCGAGGGCTACCACTGTGTCAGGCTCCAAGGCGGGGCTCGGGGAAACCTGGCTGAAGAGAATTCACATTCCTGTCTCTTCCTGGCATCCTGGTTTGTTGTTGTGTTGTCAGCCCCTTAAGCGCTGCAATGTGTTACCAGCTGTATTGAGTTACAATTCACATGCCATACAATTCATTCCACAATGTATTTTTCATGCATTCTGTAATTTTTTAACTTTTTAATCAAAAAGTCATAGGCCGTGTCAAAGGTCATAAAACTTATATTAGAAAAGAAGATCTTAAAATCAATGACCTAGAAAACTGTAGAAAGAATTCACAAAGCCCCCCTACCAAAAAAGCTGGCTCTTTGAAAGGATCATCAAATTTGATAAGGCTCCAGCTGGACTGATCAAGAAACCAATGAGGTGAACCAATCCCAACATTGGGAACGGAGGACGGGCAGGGGTAACGCGGTCTGTGTGGAGCCAGAAAAAGATCCTTTGCTGAGCAGCACCTGAGGCGCTTTCTGCACCGGCATCATCGTGTTTAATTAACCCAGCATCTCATAAGAGGTACTGATGCTGACCCCTCTGTGGTCACAGGAGGGGAGATGACGCTCGGCAGGGGGAGCGACAGGCACAGGACTCTTTGACTCGGGTTTTAGAGCAAAGCTTAGGGTCAAGGGCTTCTCCCGGGTTCTAATTCCCGCTCAGCTTTCCGGGAGTGCTGAAATCCTCTGGATTCCCATCGCCCTAAGGATAAAATCCAAGCCCTCCCTGTCACACAAGGCCCCGCATGGTCTCACCCCCACTTCCACCTGCCCTGGACTCCTACTACTCAGCCCTGGTCCACACCCCTGCGGCCACATCAGCCGGCTTCCTGCTCCTTGGGTGGGAACCTTTGGGACTCTACCTGCCCACCCTCCCCCTGGGATGCACGTTCTGCAGATCAGCCCACAGCCAGCTCCATCCTCAGTCACCTGTGGGCCCCAACACTGGACGAGCTTCGTGCTTTTTCCAGAAGCGCACAAACTCCAGAGCCATGGACAGAAGTGGGCGCTGAGGGGGGAGATGGGGGATAAATACCCCACCTCCCTCTCCTTCTGCCTGTCAGCGCCTCCCATTGACCCACACTGGCCAGACTTGCAGGAGCCCAGGGACACCCCACTGAGGTCAGCCTCCGGGGCCCAGGGCAGGCAGAGGAAGGACCCCAGCCCTCCCCATGCCTGGGGCCCCCAGCCCAGGCTCCATCAGCCAGCCCTGGAGTGAAGACAGCTAGAGACACTGGTTCCAGTCAGGATTCGGCCCCCACTGTTTCCTCTCTGTGTTACAGCCCCAGAGATGAGACCCTACATTCAGATTCCATTTCCCCTCTGTGCCCTAGGAAAGAACCAAGGGCTAACACGGAGTGCGGGGTGGGAAGGACAGACTGGACCAGCAGCCTGAGCTAGGAAGGGTGCTCTGGGGACCTCCAGGCCCAGCCCCCTCCCGGCCTGAACTCGGCAACCCCAGCCCACCGGCCCCCCCACTACTGGCTCACTTGTCTCTGCAACTCCAGTCCAGAAAGCTTCACTCCACCAGGTGAGCTGAGATGCCAATTAGCTCAAAGCAGATGCAAAGAGCCGTGTTTTAATCCGAACTGACACAAGGGCAGCAGAGGGCAAATCACAGACCTAGTAAAAGGAAGCCTAGCTGGGCGTGAGAGCAGGGCTCAGGCCCAGCCACAAGGCCGAGGGGCGGGCAGTGTCTGGGGAAGACTGCAGAGCCGAGCCGATGCCTGGATACAGCCGGCGCTCCAGCAATTTCAGCCCCTATCACAGTCATTACTTCAACCAGGATTCAGCTGTGCGTCGGGCGCTTTCAGGTGCTGGGGAAACGGGGCTGAACAAACCCCATAAACTCCTTTCCTCCCCTTTTTATGGAGAGAGGCAGGCAAGTAAGTCTGCAGGTGTTAAAGGCAAACAGCAAGCAGGGGCCGGAGGCGTGGGGAGGGCAGCTGGGGAAGCCTCACTGAGCAGGTGTCACTGGAGGAGAGACCAGAGGGAGGTGAGGAGAGAGCGGGGGAGAGGGCGCACCTGGCAGGGGCGCCGCCGCAACAAAGGCCCTGGGACAGCGTTGCGCCCGGCGTGTGGGAGGGACCGCGGGGAGGCCCGTGGCGGTTGGAACGGAATGAGCGAGGGGGAGAGGGAGGAGGTGAGGGCAGGAGGGGACGGGGTGGGTCGGGTGGTGCAGGACCCGGGGGCGCGGAGGGCTCGGCTCTCACCCGGAGGGACGCGGGACCCCCCCCGCCCGCAGGGAGGCGGGCAGAGCAGGGACGCGCCTCGCTCGCTGCTCACACGCGCCCTCTGGCGGCTTCGGGGAGAACAGGCCGTGGGAGGTGCCGGGAGACGGGGCGGAGGGGACGGCGGAGGTCCGGGAGGGGTGGCTCAGCCAAGTGGGTGGGGAGCTGAGAGAGAGAGTGAGGACCCGTGGGCAAGTGAGGGTCAGGGTGGAGTACTCAGCAAAAGGTGCCAGAGAATTTCTGGGTCTTGTGTGTGTGTGTGTGTGTGTGTGTGTGTGTGTGTGTGTGTGTGGCCGCCTCGGGTCACTCTTTGTTGCGGTGCGCGGGCTTCTCATTGCGGTGGCTTCTCTTGCTGCAGAGCACGGGCTCTAGGCGCGCGGGCTTCAATAGTTGTGGTGCACGGGCTTAGTTGCTCCACAGCATGTGGGATCTTCCCAGACCAGGGCTCGAATCCGTGTCCCCTGCATTGGCAGGCAGATTCTTAACCACTGTGCCACGAGGGAAGCCCTGGGTCTACTTTAAAACTAGAACCAACAGGGTTTGCAGGCAGATTTGATGTAGGCAGGGAGGGAGCCACGAGCCTCCAGGATTTGGTCTGCTCACCTCAAAGAATGGAGCTGCAGGTACCTGGGAGGTAGCAGAGGCAGGAGGGGCAGCCTTTACAAGACCATGAGTTCAGTCTTGGGATTGTGGGCTTGGGACTCCATGAGACATGCACAGAGACACCTGGTCTGCCAGCTGTACAGGGTGGGCTGTTGGTTATCTATGGGCCCTGTGGGTTCAGAGACACCTTGGCTTTTACCCTGAGGGAGGTGGGAGCCCTGGAGGGTTTGAAGCAGTGGTATTAAGAGAAAGGGATGTGTCAAGAATGGCTTTGACCTGAGTCTCCTGAAGGAAGTTGACCTCAACTGAGAAGAGGGTTCCAGTTGCTTTCCTTAGTTGTTTACTGTCCGATTCTGCCCTGCTCCCTCCTGACACACACACACGCAGAAGAGGCCGAGGCTGTGCGTGTCCTGTCCTGGGGTCCAGCACATCACCAGTCTAAAGCAGGCGCACAAATAGCCTTAAAAGAAAGGGGTGAGGGCTTCCCTGGTGGCGCAGTGGTTGTGAGTCCGCCTGCCGATGCGGGGGACGCGGGTTCGCGCCCCGGTTCGGGAGGATCCCGCGTGCCGCGGAGCGGCTGGGCCCGTGAGCCATGGCCGCTGAGCCTGCGCGTACGGAGCCTGTGCTCTGCAACGGGAGAGGCCACAGCAGTGAGAGGCCCGCGTACCGCAAAAAAAAAAGAAAAAAAAGAAAGGGGTGAGGGGTTGTTGACACTGCTGCACTGAGCCGAGGTCTCCCACCCGTCTCTAAAACCATCTGGGAGCTAAAAGTGAGTTTGCACCCCAGG